CTCCTTTCACGAAACTTTCTTTACATCCGTAGGCGCTGCAGCGAATAACCATTTTTACTTAAATTTTATGTGACCAAGCAGAGCAGCAGTCTTTCGTCCCAAAGAAAGCAATGTAAAGTATTTCCGGACTTTCGGAATTCGCGCAGCAGTCACGTGACACTAATGTTGGAACCGATTGAAGGTTGCAATACGCTCTCTACCAGTATACTATCTCGTTGGTTCCAACATGATGGGGCGCCAGCTCATTTTGGACTGGATGTTCGTAGCCATTTGAACAGATTATTCCTGCATCGATGGATTGGGCCCAAGCTCACCGGATTTATCGAGCCTTGATTTCTTTTTTGTAGGAAGCTATCAAAAGTGTCGTGTATCACGATCCTGCTGTGCCTGAAATGGATCTCGGGGCAAGACTCGCCTGCGCAGCTGCTACAATCAAAGAAACTCCCGGTGTGTTTGAACACGCCCGGTAATCAATGGTCCGTCGGTGTCCAGGCATGTCTGACGTCTGATGGTGCAATCCTTGAGCATCTGTTGTATCATTCAAGCTGTCGTACACCATTTGTATTCATGTCCAATAAATGTTTCAAATTAATCACTCTCTTGTTTCCTTTCCCATACCACTTACTCCTGACATTTCCGGACATGGGTTCCTATGCAATTCTTAATCCTTATGATGCGCCCTACCTCTCCCAGACATTTTTTGGACTCTCTGTCGCAATATTTTTGGACACCCTGTATATAGCTATAAATAGTATCATACACCTACTTATTTTTAAAATACTCAGATCTAATCACATTAATCTATCGCCATCTAGAAACTGGAGATCCGAAGTTATCACTTTTATTTTAGTTCTGAAATTAAAATATCTCTCGTTTCTTCCATTTTTGCTATGATAAAATATTTTTCTGACAAAATGAATTATTTTATCAATTGATTATTGGCAATATGATTTAAAAATATTTCGTTTCCACTTCTTCTCATATTCTGTTGATGTATTCACCTTTAAAGTTGAATTTTTGCATTTCCAAGAATATTTTCTCTGTTTTTTTATGCCTGTTTGTTTAAGGGGTGTTGGAACCCCAAAATCTTCAAAAAATTGTGATTTCGGATTTTTGCATTTTCAAATTCTCTACACTTTTATCTTTCTAAAAATACCATTTTTTAATCTCTATGAAAGTTAGAACTGTAACAAAATCTGGTTTTAATTTGTCATCTACTGTTTTGATCAATGAGGATTTTTACATAAAAACGCGTTTTTCTCCAAACGTGTTTTTTATACTCGATGTACCTTTTTCTCAGGAACTACTGTTCACAGGTATCCAAACTTTTATGGCTTATTTATTAGGTTCCCAAATATTTACTGAAATGAGCTTTTTGTAAGAACTTAGAAAAAAAATTTTTTTTGATTTTTTTGTGTGAGAAAAGTGTTAAATTTTCTATGCTAACAAAATATTCTGTATTTACTCTAAAATTCAAATGCTTCAAAAGCCATTTTAGTATAATCAGATAGGTATACTTTAATTTACAGAAAAAATTTCAAGCTTGTATCTACAGCAGATTTTGAGAAAAGGTACATCGAAAATGGCCAATTTCACATTGTCGGTATAGGGGTTTCTGATACCCCTTAATTAAATTTGCAAAACATTTAAGCACTATTTGTTAAAGTGAAAGGATTCCTTCGTGGAGGACTTTCTAGCCTCTTACTTACGTTATACATGGGAGAAACCACGAAATGTTTCATGCAGCCAACCTATTTTCCGGGATTTGGTATTACATCAGTCCCTCTATTAAGCGTGGAATTTTTATGGGCAAGTGCGTAAGAATATAGCCCCTTCTTATTACTTTAAATGTGCTACTTCCAAATGGTGCTTCTAGATACGTTTCAAAACTTAAATAATTATAATTTATTTTTTTAATTCATTCCTAATATTTAGCAGTTAGTTTGGCGTCCATCTTATCCTGAGGCAAGTGCCTCATTAGCCTCGCTTTTGTCCCGGCTCTTTCTATAGGCTTTAAAAGCATGAAATTTCGTAATTTGAATTCATTTCGTAAAATTACGCCGACCAGCAACCGAACGGTAACGTCGTTGAACACTGGTAATTGGGTCCTGAGTTCAAATCCCGGCGAAGGGGTGGCAGCATGGGCGTTTTCGGTGGTTTTCCTCATGTGTAAAATATAAATGAAGCATTTTCCCTTAGAAAGCCCTCCACGAAGGCATTCCTTTCCTTAGACGACAGATAGCCTTCGAATGCTTTGCTATAATTAAATGTACCATACCATACCATTTCACAAAATTACTCTAGGAAATATTTTTGATGGAAAATTACAAAACACTGAGCTAAATTATATTACAAGAGTTAAATGAACACTAAAGTTTAATATAAATTAAAGAAAACTAATGATGAGTTCATACACAAGAAGAAAAATTACAACATGCTTTATAGTACTTTATTGATATGCTAGAAAATCTGTAACTCTCCTTTCACGTTTTTCAGAACAATGAATGGACTAACTTCTGACTAAGTTTCCCAGGGCAAGATAGATGGCGCCACCTCTCGAGCTTGGTACGTCTCTACAGCTTTAAGATAAACTATTCTTTAGAGATAATCATGTTTTGGTCCTTTCTTCAACTTCATGATGTGTAATTTCTCTAGATCATGTAATTTTCTACTTTTAGTGCCCTAGTATAGTAAGACCCCGCTTAACGCGGGGGATACGTTCCATCGAAGTAGAGCGTAATGCGAAATAGCGCTAAGCGAGGCTATCTTAACATGTAAATAATGGGGTTAGGGGAAGACGGATTAAAAATGGTTAGGCATTAAATTTAAATAATGTTTTTTTTAATAAAAATAAATCAAACATTATTTCTTACAAAAAAAAAAACAATATAAAACGCTATAACTTTTAAAAAAAACAAATAAAATTCTCAGTCAGATCATTCAGTCTATTCTGGGTTTCCAATTCTGCCTTTTAGTCAAGAAGGCACTATGATAGATTGGCTTAATGGCATATTGCGTTCAATTTCGTCGTCAATCCATATAGACAGTCGTTTTTCCATTTCCTCTATAATGTTATTTCTAGAACGGGTAATTCTAGACGTAGTTGCAGTTGCCGATGACAGTATTTTTTCTTTATTCTTAAGAATTGTCCTTATTGTTGAAGTTGCCAAAATCAATGCAGGACTAATTTGAGATTGACGTTCAACAGAATCTGATCTTCTAATCACTTGCGTTTGAGTTTCCAGTGAAAATGCTTTTCTGGGTTGCTTTCTTTTCTTGTGTTTACTCGTATTATCACCCATGATAAAACTAAAGATCATACATAATATTTGTCACTGCATTATAATCGTTATAGTATTATATATCAAATTTACAATAAGTCAACAAATGTTGTTTCAAATGATAAAAAGCAAGAAACACAACTACATTGTTTCGGATATGTTATTTGGAAACCTAGCGCTGCGCACAATTTCGGAGAATCCCCGGGTTGAAATAAAAGAGCGCTAAACCGAAACAGCGCTAAACGAAACAGCGTTAAGCGGGGTCTTTTACTGTACATCTGTATTTTATTGAGCCGGCAAAAAGCTAGTTTGATTTACTAGCTAAGCGCGGCATAATAAAGTCATGTCTTATGAATTCATGTCGTCATTCAATGAAACTTCTGCAAGTAACAGAAAAGAACATTACACATTTTAGACCGTTCTTTCTAAAAAAGTTAAGTTAAATACCACTTCTTCGCTACTAAAACGATAGTCTTAAAAATAATTTTATTTTCTAGCAATCGCACTGTGAATTTTCTAGAAGGAACTTTTTAAAAATAACTTTATGTATAAAATAATTAAAATAAGTTCTTTGAAGTTTAGAAAAAAATTCACAAACTTTTCAAAGTTGAAAAGACTCTATTCACATGATAATTTTTGCTCTAACACCAAGCCGATATTTTATCAAGTCGTGAATAAATATTGCGTATGATACTTAATTTCTAGCGGTTTTGCTTCTCAAAACAGAAGCACAAATAAAAGATGCACATATATTTCAATATATATTTATTTATTTACTAAAAACCTGGAAGAGGGTAGGTGTCCATTGTTTTACCAAGCAAAATTCCTGACCTGGCAAACTAAAATGTGTTGCCATTTGAAAGAAATATTTATTGCAAGTCCAATCCAAGCGGACCAGTCTCAAGCGATCCAGTGCAATATACATGCAACAAAATTTTGAATAATTTTCCTCGTGCTGAGTTACCTTCCTCCAAAATTCATATCTAGAATAGATGATATGTTAAAAGTGCTCCAAAAAAATAATTAAGTGATCTAAATGCCATGTCGTGAAGTAAATTTTTCAACAAAAATGAATAACTGATAAATACTTTATTATCCACATATAATTCCGGTAATGTTTTTTAAATGCTCTTTATGAGGGGGGGGGAAATCAGATATTTTACTATAAAATTACTAGCCCAAATGGGCGTTTAGTACAGAAGTCGAAACTGCATTTGCGTTGTTGCCACCAAATATTATCTCCCTGTATTATATTTAAAGGACCTACATAATGAAGAATCTACATGAATGTAGACATGTTTCTCGCATTGTGAGAAAACAAAAACGGTACCTAAAGTCATCAGATTTTGAATAACATAGACCTCCGTATGAACATGACTACCTGGAAGCCGGAATTTGTTTTAGTGTTTATTTCATACTTTGTAAATCATTAACAAATTAAAAAAGAAAACTCGATAAAAATTCAACAATTCCAAAGCGAGCACTGGCAACACTGTAGGAAATAAAACATTTGTATCTTCAAGCACGCGAGACTGTCTATCGGAAATTCTAAAGATATGCTGTTTTTAAATATTTTTAGCCCAATGTGGCGCTAACCCAAATGCTCTAGAAACGTGTATGTGTCTGTAAAATGCAAAAAATGCCCGTTTCGACGTAATATGAAATCTGACAGCTTTCAGTTTTTTTTCTTAAAATTAATGTTTTCAAAAGAATTTTCAATTAGCGACCGTAATATATATCGTTTTATTTCCTGAATAATAGAAAAGTAGTATCAAGGCACTGAATACAGGAACTTCCTCTCAGAACTCTGTCTTCAGTTTCTGCATGTCTGCAAACGAGAAACAAAACGCTTTTTAATATTAAAAAATATAAAACATAAATATTAAACATTTGTCTTTAAAGCATAAACTTTTATAATGAAATTAAAGTTAAAAAATTTAATCAAAATTCTAATTACTTACAAGTATTTACAGATATATACACTGGTGTGCAAAAATTAAGGACGAGACGGTTTTCTCATATAACTTTGTACAAAGCTTTCCAATCAACACATTTAATACCGTAAGATCCCCAATACGTAAGGACATGAGTAATATAAGCAACACTTACTAAAGAGAAATCAGAGGGATAAAAAGAAGCTTTATTGAAAAGTAGCATGGAGCGCAATGCGACTGAAGGCCGAAACATCCCTGTGATTGGTGTCCAGCAAGAAACATCCGGTCTTTAATAGGGGATATGATCTCCCCTGACTGCTAGGCAGGTTTCACAGCGTCTGCCCAGCTGAGAATGAGGGTGTCAATGAGTTTGTTGAGGCATTGCTGCCCATTCGTCTTACAGCACCAATCGAAGCTCCGGAATCGTTACTGGTGGTAAGGTACAGCTGCCAAGCGTCTGCCTAGAAAATCCCATAATGCTCGATGGGATTGAGATCCGAGATCGTGCCGGCCAATCCATAAGTTCAATATCTCACTTTCTAAGAGCTGTTCGGCAGCTACTGTGCGATGACATGGTGCATTGTCGTCCATGAAAAGGAACTGCGGACCCATAGCGCCTCTAAAAAGACGCACATATGGAAGAAGAATCTCGTTACAATAACGGGTCCCGTTGACTGCGCCTGCGTCGAAGACTACCAAGCATGATGCCTCCCCAAACGAGAACACCGCCACCTCCATACTGCCCTTTCAATGATGTTCGAGGGATGATTGCGGCTTCCCCGCTCTCTCGAGATGAGTATGCGATGAGAATCGCTACTCATACTGAATCTGCTCTCATCTGTAACGAGTACTCGTCCCCATTCATTGTCTCCCCAATTTCGGTGTTCCCGGCACCACAGAGAACGCCTTCTCCGATGGGCAGGCGTTAGAGGTACCACCGTACAGGGCTCGTGCAAACAGACCACCACCGTGCAGTCTTCTGGCCACGGTAAAAAACGCGATATCGGTCGTCCAGTCGCCTGAGTCGTGTGTCTAGAGATTTCTCCCGCTGTCTGCCGCCTGTTTTTGGCCTGCAAGGCAATATACCGGTCATTGCGGGTGCGGTTCCTCGTGGACGACCACTACTAAATCCCCGGATAGCTGTTCCTGTAGTTTGAAATTGTCCCAAAGTCGTGAAACGATGCTGTGAGAATTCCGAACTCTGCACCACACTTGTCACACTGCGGCCTTCCTCCAACTTCCCAATGATTCGACCCTCGGGTAAACATCCAGATGTCGTTAACAGATTGATTATTCGCCATTTCTCGCTGAGGCAGCAACTCGTTGTGATTTTAACTGCTATACGGCGGCAATTTTTTGCCAGAAATACTGATCTTACACCGACAACATGCTTATACTACTCAGACACTCCCCCATTACGTCTACTGCATATGCGCATGTGCTACGTACATCACCTTACTTAATCTCCTGATTAGTCTTTCTGTCCGCTTGCCTCTTCGTTCAGCTGATATGCTAATTTTTTGACTTCGTCCTTAATTTTTGCACACCAGTGTAATTTAAGGTAACATATAAAAACTTAATACTCATGTCTAATTTCTCTTTCCTGTTACAACTAATGTATAATTATCAGAATTTATACTTAAGATATATTAACTGAACAATTTAAGAACGAGCTTTCAGTAAGGTAGAAAATTTTTGATTTTTTAAACTTTTTAACTCTCAGAACATAAAAATGTATATGAACTAGCTATCATAAATTAAGGAAAAATCACAAAAATAGCGATAATTCCCTCAAAAATAAGCCAAACCGAAAATTTGAATATGTTGCCAATTAAGAGTAGCTGAGTAAAACTACGATATGCAAATTAGTGGCGCTGCTTTCGGAATACGTCATCTGCGAGGAGCATAAAAGTCCATGTTTGAGAGCAAACCCACATATTTCACTGTGACAGTGACATCAGAAATCTGAGATAGCCAATTCGTAACAATGACTTCCAGGCATTATTTGCCTGCAGAACTGCGATGGAGAGTCATTGGGAGACTAGAGGCAGGGCAAAGTCAAACAGAAGTGGCCAGATGGCTAAATGTCAGTCCTTCTGTGGTTCATAGACATTGGAGGCAATTTCAAACCGCAGATTCGGCATCTAAAGGAGGTTCAGGCAAGGACGGCCAACTGCTACGACGAGCGCGGATGACCGATATTTGACATTATGTGCACGCAGGAATAGAATCGCTACTCCGAATCTTCTTTAGATCCTCCCATACTGCAGCCACCGGAAGGTTCGTAACAATGTCAACTGTGCGTAAAAGGCTTCAGGAAGGTGGTCTGTATGCGAGGCGACTAGCCATTTGTGTGCCGCTCACGTCACGCCATAGGAGGGACCGTTTGCAGTAGGCACGACAACATGTCCACTGAACGCCTGATCGATGGAGGGCGGTTCTCTTTACGGATGAGTCCAGGTTTAGTCTAGAAAGCGATAGTACGCGTTATTTGATATGGAGAGAACCTAGAACCCGTTATCATTCATCAAACATCCGTGAAAGAGATGCATACGGAAGGGGCAGTGTCTGTGTTTGGGGTGGCATCTCTTTGGGTGGACGCACAGACCTCCATGTCTTTCCAAGGGGAACCGTGAATGCTCAGATTTATAGAGATGACATCCTTGATTTTTATGTGCGCCCATATGCCGGGGCAATAGGTGATGCTTTCCTGTTACAAGACGACAACGCAAGAACACACAGGGCTCGCATCGTAGATGATTATCTTCAACATGAAACAATTATGCGCATGGAGTAGTCAGCTCGATCCCCGGACTTGAATCCTATCGAGCACGTTTGGGATGCTTTAGGGAGACGTCTAGCTGCTCTCAATCCGCCCCCTCAGACCCTTGTCGCGCTTGCAATTGCTTTGCAAGAGCAATGGCTCTCTCTTCCTATGGAACTGATAGACCGCATAATTGAAAGCATCACGCCTCCCTGTATGTGCTGTATTGCTCTAGAGCGATCATATTCCATATTGAAGGTAATTTTCCTATAGCATACCGACACCTTCGATTTGTTCATTTTATACATGCGCTAATTTCTATACTGCCATATTTGTCTGGTAATTTCTTTTTATGTTATTTGATACCTTACTATGTGTTGTATATTGTGGGTAAGTTTGATTAAATTCTACATGTAACTTTTTCAGTAATTGTGATTTTTGTGATTTTTTCTTAATTTATGATAACCAGTGTAGTTTTATTACTTACCGCTTTAACTTTTTCAAAGACGCACTGGCTTGCTCTGGCAGCCTAGGAAAGTAAAATTATTTCAATATTACACGTTACAGTGCATTATTTGATAAATATTATTAATATAAATACATTAAAATAATGTTTATGCATTTCATATTAATTTACATTTATCTAATTAAAACTGCTGTAACAGTTTCGGGAAAATTTCCGCTTTGAGGCAGAAATAAAAGTGACAAGACCCTATTTGGTGGTGGGACAAAAATCAGAGGGTATGTTCTGTGTATTTCGCTGTCGTATACAGGTCGAATTAATTCAGAAACACTTTATTACTGAAATGCTGAAACACAGTTTTTTAGAAAGGCGAACGAGGTGAAATAAGAACTATTATTAGTTGCATCACAGTGTTGTCAAGTGTAGATTAACCGACCTACGGACAAAAAACATTCAATTTGTTTATTATAGAAGGATATAAAAATTACTATCATTAACCAAAAAATAAAACTGTTTGCGGAAAAATACAAAAATCTGATGTGTACACCACATGACTTCCTTGTACGGAATATTAAATTATACGCATTTTTTTTCTTGCATTTCAGTTAAACTTATTGGATTAAATTAAATCTACTTCCTCGACAGCGCATAAACCATAATAAAATAAATGCACTTTTTAAAATTCACTATATTTGTTTACCATAGCGACAGGCGCTAGGTTCACTTAATATTTCGTTCATATTATAACTATGTCTATGTCTATGTCATAACACAATTAAGAGGCCATCGGCCTAGTGCAGCCTTATAATATTTATAGTAGGTTCTTAATGATGAGTGAACCATAAGATGGACGTACTTTTGCACTAAGCAGATCTCTAGAAGAAGAAACGTGGCCCCAGATTGAGATCTGACTTAGGATTTTGCGTCGGTAGCTGTTATACACTCTGTCCATAAATTAAGGATAATGCAAAATCAGGCAAAGGAAAAGTTAGAAGCAAAACAAATTTGACTTATTTGTAAAGCTTATTTATTAAACAAAAGGTAAAGAGCAAAAACAGATGCTATATGTTTGATATTATTAAAAAAATTAGCGATTTTTTTTCTCCCTGGAGCAAATTACAAAAAAAAAAAAAAAAAAAAAAAAAACTTAAATTTACAAAAAAACCAATATTACATGGTTGGTTTGATTGTTAATACATTGTATGTCTCCCAGACGATGCAATACAGTCCGTACAACGCCTAGGCATCTGAGTATCAAATTATCGATCTGATCTTGGGGGATATTACATCACTCAAAAAGCAATGCACTCCGAAGTTCCGGTAGACATGTAGAAGGAGGTTGACGGGCTGCAACTCGTCGGCCAAGCATGTCCCACACGTGTTCTACTGGTTCAAGTCTGGTGAGAATGCTGGCCAGTCTGTACGGGTGATATCCTCCGATTGAAGGCATTCGCTTACGATATTTGCACGGTGAGGACTGGCGTTGTCATCCATAAACAAATTTGAAATCCATAAACATAAACAAATTGTGTGCCCATGGCACCCCGAAACAAATGTACATGTTGTTCCAGAATGACGTCCCGATAGATATGGCTTGTCATGATTCCAATTTGAACATGAAGGTCAGTTCTGGAACCCAGAATAATTCCACCCCAAACGAGCACTCCTACACCACCGTAACGGTGTCGTTCAATGATGCTTTCTTGGTGGTAACGAATACCTGGAGCTCTCCATATGAAAGTCCGGCGAGAATCAGACTGCAAGCTAAACCTGGACTCGTCGGAAAACATCACACAAGCCCACTGTTGCGGTGTCCACAGTGCATGCTCTCTACTCCAGGCTAACCGCAGGCGACAGTGAGTTGCAGTAAGTGGAACGCATCTGACAGGTCTACGAACATATAAACCAATCTGCCCTAAGCGTCTGTACACGGTCTGCCTTGAAATTGTCGTACCAGTGGCTGAAGAGAGCTGACGAGGCAGGTCTCAGGCTGTGCTCCACCTGTTTGTTTTGGCAGTAACTGCCAAATACCGGTCCTTATTCGGCGCTGTAACTCTGGGGCGACCTGTGCTGTAACGTCTACTCACATTACCATCATCTTGGAATGTTGCCAAAGCCTGGAGATGATACTCTGGGCAATTCCAAGTTTGTCTGATACTTCCAGTTGGGTACGCCCACATTCCAGACGGCCGATAATTCTACCACGTAAAAAGTCATCCAAATGCGCCCGTTTTGTCATAACTATTCGGTTATTGCACTGAAATGCTTATAAAGCGCCTGCGAACAATTTTACTTCTTTGCCTGTATTCCTTATATATCACTCTCTTACACTCTCGTCATTGTGACGTACCATCGGTGTCATCTGGTTACTTCCTGAAATTTGCATATGATTCTTGAAGATCTGTGTAGTGATTTTACAGGTGATATATTTATTTTAGAGTTTGATTTCCGCGTGACTCCGAATTATCCTTAATTTATGGACATGAGTGTAGTAGTAAATGTGACTGCCACGAAAAGAAACAAACAGAGTGCAGGTTTCAAACGCAAAGGCATTTATTTTGCGAAAGAAAATGGAAATCGTGCTGCAGCAAGGCCGTTTGGTGTAGCTGAAAGATGGAACTGATAATGATTATTTATTTACGGATTAAAATAACAATGATGGTGAAGATGAAGCAAAATTCGATGATACGGCTGAAGATATAACGAAAGACTAACATGAAGAACTCTTCATGTTATGTTATAATGAAAATGTTAAATTTCATAAAATATATCGTTTGTTTTATAACGTATCGGTTTTTTTTTTTTTTTTTTTTTTTTTCTTGCGTATAATGCATCTGTTAACTTCAGTCCTATTTTTTTGTACTAAAAGTGCGCCGAAATATACGGTAGTTTGAATATTATCATGTTTACTTACCTCTTTGTACATATCGTCGGTAGCAGTAGTGGAATCGTAACATTCTTTCATAGCTCTTCCAATATTGTTATTGCTGTGCGTTTGCGCATATTCTCCAAATTTCTGGCGATCTACCGTCATTTGACGATTTTTAGTGACAACCTGAAAAAAAATATTAATAAGAACTTTTCTCTAAAATAAATTCCATGTTCGTAATCTAAATTGAGTAAAAGTTAACCTCAAAGTTCGAAATCTAATGTTGAGAAATTTTATCCTTTATAACATTAAAAAATGCTAAAAATAAGACGGTACTATTCGGTTTCGAGGGGTGTAAAAAACCGCCAAACTATTGTTGATGCTAATGCTGCCAAAAATAATTGCGGCAACCCTAATAATGGCGGCAAGAAAGGAAGTATAATAGTAAATAACTATCTAAGATGTATATTTTAATTTAGATGAAAGGTTAATTTCATATAATACTTTTTTATTATTATAATTTATATGAAAAAGGCTAAACATGACTAAATGGAAGCAAAAGAGTCAATAACTATTTCAGATCATTATTATAATTTATTTATAATTTATATAAAAATTGCTAAACATAACTGAATGAATGTCTGCATCGCTTTTTCGCTACCGACTTATCGCTAAAGCATAATCTCATCTCGTTGGTTGTTCAAACGTAATTTTCTATAATTAATGGTGGCTTTTCTTTGAAAATATTCTCGGTAAAGTGCAGAATCGCTCAATTATTTGTTTTCCGCCTTTTACAAGGGTAAAAACAATTGGACATGTAGGAGGAGGTTGACGGGCTGCAACTCGTCGGCCAAGCATGTCCCACACGTGCTCTACTGGATTCAAGTCCGGTGAGAATGCTGGCCAGTCCATACGTGTGATATCCTCCGATTGAAGGCATTCGCTTACTATGTTTGTACGGTAAGGACGGGCGTTGTCATCCATAAACACAAATTGTGCCCCCATGGCTTCCCGAAACAAACGTACATGTTGTTCCAGAATGACCTCCCGATAGATTTCGCTTGTCATGGTTCCAATTTGAACGTGCAGGTCAGTTCTGGAACCCAGAATAATTCCACCCCAAACGAGCACTTCTGCACCACCGTAACGGTGTCGTTCAATGATGTTTTCTTGGTGGTAACAGGTACCTGGAGCTCTCCATATGAAAGTCCGGCGAGAATCAGACTGCAAGCTAAACCTGGACTCGTCGGAAAACATCACACAAGCCCACTGTTGCGGTGTCCACAATGCATACTCTCTACTCCAGGCTTTTGTCAATTTTCTTTAACTTTTTAAGTGAAAATAGGTCGATGTGTACATAGATAAAGCCAAGGGTGTGCGCAGTGCCATTTTTGTGCAATTCTGGGATTTTTTTAAAGTGAAACTAGGTCGATGTTCACATGGATACCGAGTATGTGCAATTCTTAAAAACGCGTCAAACAGTGGGTGATTCTGCACTTTACCCAAAATTCTATTGCCTACTTTTCGTCATGGGCAATTCCCAAATTGTTAAATCCATAGGATAGTAAAAAAGGATTTAAAATCAAAAAATGATTTAAAATTAAACTAGTATTTCAATGGCGTCTTAAGAAATATAGAACTACATAAACTTACGCAGTCTGAAATCAGTGCGTACGCTAGATTTGGCGAGCTGCTAAATGAGCGCGTTTGCTAGATTTGGCGCTTTTGCGCATATATTTTCGCTGCAATTTTTTACGGTCCTCAAAACGTAATAGTACCAATAAGACATTCAAAATTTATTGTTAAACAATCGTTAGTTATGATTAATAATTCTTACAATGTATGAAATTTACAGTTTTTATAATTCAAAAAAATTACTTACTACATTAGCTGTTTTCATTTCCTCCTGATAGCACTAAAGGAAAATAAATAAAATTAATTTAAAGCTCCAGGTGGATCATCCAGAATTACAACTCGCATATATGTATAAAAAACAGTAATTAAAGGTAGCTATTTATTACAGCTAATCATTTAATTCCTGCCTTGACTTCTGATTGCAAACCAAAGTGGAGGGCTGATTATTGAAAATAAAAATCAGGGAATTTCTCACTTCCATAGTCGTCGTAGCCAACTTTTCGCCGTAGCCATTTCACCGTCGATATTTTGCTGACAGGACAATCAGTCGGCAGCTGATTCGACGTGGGTCGTTTCGCCGTTAAGTAAAAATGAAATACCCAATAAAGGCTGCTTAACACTGAAACGTAGAAACGTAGTAATACTGATGGCATAGATATTTGATACTTAGAACGTAGAATTCGTAATAACTAGAGAGCGTGGCAATCCAGTCGATTTTAATTCCATTTTGATTTGAATTCACATTTGTAGCCACACTTCACTTGGCACTCTAATCGTGCCTATTTTTAGAGCATTTATATTTTTGAATACTATTGCGATAGGAAGAGAACACAGAGAAATGAAATGGCGTCTAAGCAGCAATAGAGTCACAGGCGTAGTAAGCATTTATCCAATATGGCAGCTCACCAAAGAAAGGTTTTGGTTTACATTACAAAGGTTTCAGTTGTAAGAGTTAAATAACCGAAATAACTACGTCATGAGCGTTACGCAAGCTTTATGGCATAGATTAATCTAAAAATGACTCAGTTCAGAAATGTTATTATTATTTTTTAGAATAAAGTGGATATAACCAAATTAAGAAAGAGCAATTAGAAGGCTATTATTAAATTAAATTATAAAGCTGATATACATATTTTTTATCTTACGTAAAATTTAAAAAAAAATATGTAACTTTTGATTACGTATTTTAATTAAATTAGCTCTTAAATTAGCTTTAAATTAGCTCTTTATTAACTCTTGATTCTAAATGAAAGCTTTAAAGTAGCTCTTATTAGAATTAAAAGCTTTAAATTAGCTCTTAATTAACTCTTGATTCTAACTTAAAGCTTTAGAGTAGCTCTTATTAGAATTAAGAGCTTTAAATTAGCTCTTAATTAAGTCTTGATTCTAAATTAAAGCTTTAAAGTAGCTCTTACTAGAATTAAAAGCTTTAAATTAGCTCTTAATTATCTTAATTCCTTTCTTTTGATTTCAAAACGCGTCATATCTGGAAATTAATTTTGTAACCTCCGCATTGCGCATAATTCCTCGGCCAATCAGATTAATGCAAAACTTCTAATATAAATAACTACTAACTGCATAGTTTCTTTCTGTTTCGCCTACAATTGTTTGCTAATATGGGATATAAAAAAATTACACATAGTTAGTTGAAAAATTATGTCATTATCAAATAGAACACATTTATCACATTTCATAATTATGGTCTAAGCCTGTGACGTAATAGAAGTTATGTTAGCGTTTCTAAAATTGCGCAGATACAATATTTACAAGAATTGTCAAATTTTCTAGAAATTTTAATGAACTAGCCCAGAGAATCAAGCAGAAAATTTCTACTTTTATAAAATCTTACTCGAAAACAGAGTTACTTTGGAATCTTGTTAGCACATAACTGTCTTAAAATGAATAAATATGTATGTAAATATACTAACAAATTAACTTTTATGTCCTACTTAACGATATATTTGTATAAAATTATATGCAAAATCATTTTATATATTATTCAAAAGATTTCAGTACGAGGCATTTGCTGAGATGTAAATGTCAGCAAACCATCTGGTTCTTTAAATGACAAAAATTGAGAAAGATTCTTTACCACAACTTGTATTTATGAAGACAATACTCCTCAAATATTAAATTATAAATGGTCGATTTATTTTGAAGTGTGTGTGTGTGTGTGATTATGGCAAAGCCTCGAGGGCTATCTGCCTAAGGGGAGGGATGCCTTCGTGGAGGACTTTCTAAGGGAAACTGGCTAGTATACATGTTACACATGGGGAAAACCACTAAAACGCCCATGCAGCCAGCCCGTTCGCGGGATTCGAACCTCGGACCGAACTACCAGTGTTCAGTGACTTTACCGCTCGGCCGCTGGTGGGCCCCCGATTTATTTTGAAACCTCAAAATAATTTATTTTTTACTATGAATGTTACATTATATTATGTTTAATTTTAATATTGTTCTTTATTTTAACATTATATATTATCTTTATAATTATATCATGTTTCATCTTAATTCCGAAGGCTTTTAGTTACCGATTCGAATTTAACTAAATACGCCATATCATTAACGATTTTAATTTTTTATAATTCCAGATTTTCCAGATAATCCAGATTTATAATTCCAGATCCGATATTTTAATAATTCCAGAAGCTGGGTTTAATAACAAAAGCTTTTTACTTTTGAAATTTAAGGCAGCCAGGGGTATACAATAGGTAAAAAAATTATTAAAATTGTAAGGATTATGTATTATTACAGTTAATTTTTTCCTTTTGTCAAATTTTTCAACTTTCTTCCGGCCAGAACCCTCAGGGCTCACTTTTGTGAGTACGGGTGTGGCAATCCCGAGGTACCCTAGCCCTTCAGGGGATCATCTTCTTGGTGAGACGGGTGTCACGATCCTGGAGCCCCAGTGATCTATCCTCTTTTCCGTCTCCTCTCCTCTTGGCTGGATCTTTTTCCCTTCCCTTCTCCCTTGTGGTTTCTCTCTACGGAGTTTGGGGCTTGTCACGAGAGGCTGGAACAGACTTTGTTTCTAGTTTTCGAGTGGCGAGAAAACTGCCCACGTGTTTGCCGTGCGTGGAGACCCGTGTCGCTGGAAAGGAGGGTCCTGGTAGTTGAGGGGCGAGGTACTGTCCCCAACACACTGCTTTGGCCTCTGCTTCAGCTAAACGGGAGGCACCTTAGTCGTCCTCACGGGTGTCAATCGGCTGGTCACTAGTCCTTGTGTCAGTGGCTTGGGGTCAAGCTCTCGGGAGTACCTGCTTTCGGGAAAGCCGACTGTGGGGCTTCAGTTTGCGTATAGGTCCGGCTAGCCCTAACACAGGAATCTGTGTTCCCTTGTTGGGCTCCGTGGTGGGCGGGGCCGTCGGACCCGAATCTTTTCTTATTTCAATATGGCTAATTCTCAAATTTTTCTGATCAAAGACTTCGAAGTCACTCCAGTCTCTCAACCTAGTTCTGAAACGTCCACTACTAAACCAGTCACTCAAACCTAGCTCTGAACCACCTACTAATAAACCAATCATTCAACCTAGTTCTGAAAAGTCTACTACTAAACCAGTCACTCAACCTCTAGTTCTGAAAATTCTGCAAAAAAATTACGGACAGATGCAAATAAAAAAAATCATAACAATAGTCCCCGTTTCCTAGTCATCTCTAGTCCTTCTGGCGAAATGCATAAGATGTCTCCTTTCGTGAATAAACAAATACATCCAGTCTTGTATTGGTGAGCCGAGAAACATAAAGCGTCTCCGCTCCGGAGACTTGCTTATTGATACAATCTCAGCCACCCAGTCTGCTTCTTTACTTCAAATAACTAAACTTGGGCAAGCGAATGTCAATGTAACAGCACATAAGACACTGAATTATTGTCGTGGCGTTATATCGGAATTCGACCTTCTGTATGTTCCTGAAGAAGAGATCGCTTCCGAGCTATCCGACCAAAATGTCTGCGGTGCTAGGCGGATCAAGATGCGTAAGGAAGGTAAGTTGATCGATACGAAACACGTGATCCTTACCTTCAACACGCCTGATCTGCCTAAGAATATTAAGGCCGGATATTTAAATTGTCCCGTAAGACCTTATATTCCCAACCCTATGCGATGCTTCCAATGCCAGCGTTTCGGCCATTCTAAGACGTCTTGTCGTGGCAGCCTCACATGCGCCCGATGCTCACAGATTGGCCACGATTCTGAAAATTGTACCGCTGCGCCTCTTTGTATAAATTGCAAGGGTGAGCACCCAGCATTTTCACGCCTCTGCCCAAAATGGAAATTGGGAAAAGAAGTGCAGACTGCAAAGGTTACGAGGAACATCTCATATGCCGAAGCCAGAAGATTAGTCCAAAGCACACAGCTACGACCAAATACATCTTACGCCAATGCTCTTAAAAATCTCGCTCAGTTGCTACCCAAACATCAGTTAGTATGCAGACGCCACCAAACAAAAAATCAACAGACTACAAACAAAGAAGAAAGAAAACCCAACCATACAGTACAAAATAAAGAAATAGTAATTCAAAGCAAACCCAAAACTACCACACGAAAAGAAACAAATAAAAATAGAAGTTCCAGCAATAGCTCTCTTGATGGAATGGTTTCTGAATCTGCGGATTCAGACGGTATGGAAGTAGAAGAGGGTCTGGAAGTTCCCAAGCATCTACTTCCACGAAAAACCAAACAAGAGCACAGAAAGAACAAAAACCATTCATAATGGCCACCCTCGTATCATGGAACTGTCGCGGTTTCCACCGAAATTTGCTCGACATCAAAGCTATAATCAATGTTCATCATCCTGTATGCTTCGCAATACAGGAAACAAATCTAAAACCGGAACAACAAGCAAAACTTCGGAGGTTTTCTTTCGTCAGGAAAGATAACATTGCAGGTGAGCGTGCCAGTGGAGGTGTAGGTCTCCTCACCTCACTGGATTATCCCTCAAATGTGCTTTCTTTGACGACATCCCTCCAAGTTGTCGCTACTCAAACAAATTTTGATTTGTTGCTACAGTCGTTTCTCTGTATTTGCCTCCAAATGAGCATATTGATCAGCAAGATTTAAAAATGGTCTTTTAGAGCAGCTGCCTGAGCCTTTCATCATAATAGGAGATTTTAACGGCCATAGTCCGCTCTGGGGTAGTAAGGATACTAAATTGCCGAGGAAGACAAATTGAGCAGATGATCGAAGATCATAGCCTTTGTCTCCTCAATAATGGGCAAGATACTTACTTCCATGAGCCTTCAAAAACATTCCACGCTCTCGACCTTGCCATCTGTTCACCATCTCTGTTGCCTTTTTGCACTTTTAATGTGGGTAAAGATCTTTACAACAGCGATCATTATCCCATTTTGTGTCTCTTGCACGAAGAGGAGCAAACCCCATGTCGAGATCCCCTCGATTCA